AAATAATTTGTAAATCCACCTGGCCCAGATGTTTCCTTTCCTTTGGCAGTTTACTTGCTCAAATGTCTTTTCTGAGAATCTTTTATTTTTGTTTTATTAGCTTGGACATTTAAAATTTTTCTTATGCTTGCTTTTGTAAGGGGAAGGTTTCCATCCAAATAAACTATAAATCCTTTCATTTGAAAAAAAAAACTTCCAAGTATATTTGCAATCACATTAAATGATGCAGTTATTCTATTACTAAAGCACATTTCTAATACAAGGGCTGGTTTTCAGAGCTCAAAAAAGTACAGCAGGAATTGCAGGCTAGTTTACACACATGAATCCATCTTTTCTCCTCATCCTACCCAGATGGAAAGGTACTCCTCCAGGAAGAAAACAGCATATCTTACAGAAAACATTTCAGTGAAAAGATTTTATTTCAAACTGGAGGAAAAAAAAAAAGGTACCCACAATAAAAATCTATTTAAACAAAATAAACTTCCTGGCAGGAATCTTAGGCAAAGAAAGAGAACTATGTGCCCTGTGTGTGTTTCTTATTACTCATAACTGTCTTTTGATAGATGCAGAACCACTCCTACCAAGGGGAATTAGAGAATAAACTGTTTGGCTCCCTTCCGCAAGCAGATATTTCAGACGCTAGAATACATATAGCAACTTAATAGTATGGAAAAATGTTATAAAGAAAATTTATCAAACTCCTCCCAATCCCCAAATAAAACAGAAAGAAAGTAACAAAAATGCAGCTAAGTGTTGCTCTGGAGAACAGCAAAGAGAAGAGGCATGTACTTAGTACCATGAGCATACCACCTTCTTTCCTCATGTTTGCCTTGCTTGCCTGTCAAAAAAGCAAATGGGCTCATGTGATATGGCCCCACATACTGTCAGTCACAGACATTACTATGTTGATTTATTTTCTGTATAAATTCCTTAAATCTAAGCAGCACTGAAGATGTTTGAAGATAGGTTGTTCACATAGGTTTCAATTACTTCTTTCTTCCTTTTTCCTTTGTGCCTCAAGATTTTAAACAAATTTAATCATGAAAGAATACTGAGAATGAATGACATCTGTCATGTCAGAGATGAATGTGGGTGATAAAAATTGCTTCAACATAGGATTTTAACCCCTGGAGTGAAACCATAAAATGGGAAAATTTCCAAGTCAATTCAAATGATTACCAATTCACTCTATTTGGCACCAGTAAAAAGCAGCACTTATAATGGAACTACAACTACATTACAAAAAAAAAAAAAAAAAAAAACTGAGCCAGATCCCTATAAGTCTTAGAAAACTCTGTCCATTCTATGGAACTATTTATATTTGTATTGCCTCACCACCTGCAAAAAAATCTAACTAGACAGTGCTATTGTTAACAAACTTAAAATGAGTCTTGAAAGCTAGCACAGACCCACAAGCCATATCCTGGAAATAAATTAGACCAAATTTACAATTAAGACTAAAGACATAATTATTAAAATTTCAATAGTGAATTAGGACACTAATTCTGAACTTCAGACTTCAATACTTACTACTGTTATCTAACAATACTAATTAAGTATGGTATGGGGCTGCTGAATATTATGTAGCTTGTTTTATGGTTTATATTTTTCCCAATTACATGTAAAAGCAATTTTTAACATTTTTTTTTTTAAATTTTGAGTTCCAATTTCTCTCTCCCTCCTCTCCCTGCCCTTGAGAATGCAAGGAATTTGATAGATTATAAACATAGGCAAAAAGAAAAAGAAAAATACCAAGAAAAATAATCAATCTGTATTCAGACCCATCAATTTCTTCTCTGGAGGTGGATGCCGTTTTTCATCATAAGTCCTTCAGAACTGCCTTGGATGACTGTATTGCTGAGAACAGCTAGGTCATTCACAGTTGATCATTGTACAATATTGCTGTTCCTGTGCAGTATTCTCCTGGTTCTGCTCATTTTACTTTGAATCAGTTCATGTAAATCTTTTCAGGTTTTTCTGAAAGCATTCTGCTCATCATTTCTTACAGCACAATAGCATTCCATTACAGTCACATAACACAACTTGTTTAGCCATTCCCCAGTAGATGGGTATCCCCTTGATTTCCAATTCTTTGCCACCACAAAAAGAACTATGCGGTTTATTTTTAAAAAATTTATAGGGGACCCATAGTTTTTAATGTAAGTATGCAAACAAAGCAAGGTGAAGCATACATTAGATGGACGGCTATGCTGTTGTATGTACTATTAATTTAATTATAAACATGATTTGTGAAGGTAGCCTTGATTCATAAATTTAGGCATGGTTTACTGAGAGACTATCCGTCTCATTAGGATTATCATGAACCCACAGATATGATGGTTTAATTTCTGTTAGCTACACGCAAGTCTGTTAGAAAAATCTCAGTCACAGGGCAGCTAGGTGGCACAGTGGATAGAGCACTGGCCCTGGAGTCAGGAGGACCCAAGTTCAAATCCAGCCTCAGATACATAATACTTACTAGCTGTGTGACTCTGGGCAAGTCACTTAACCCCAACTGCCTTGCCCCACCCCACCCCCAAAAAAGGAAAAAAAAAAATCGCAGTCTACCAAAGCCCTTTTACATTCAATCTGAGGTTAAATTTCAAAAGACTTAGGTACTTGATAATTTTAGTTAAAGGCCTAACTTTGGAGAATCAGCTCCATTTCCCTCTTAGGCCACTGAAAGGTGCTAGAATAGTATTATATAATGCCTATCACTATAATATTATACCTCACCTAAGTCCTGTTAAAGAACTGATGATAAAGTTGTGCTGATAATCCGTGGTGTGCTCTTAACAATTCTGATACTGAATTTTCAAATGAGAGATAAAGGTTAAATCTACATTTCTTTTGACTTCATTTCATTTCCTCATTCTGTACACTCTCTGGCAGTAGTATGAGGAGAATCTGAATAGCATTATGTCCAGAAACCCTAAAGAGAAGAGTTTAAAAAGGGGTAGTTTTTTTTTTTTGGTGGTAATGCATAGATTTTATTCAAATATCACTGTATCTGGGCAGTACAAGCCAAAAGAGCATGCTCACCCCTTCCCTTTCACTGAAAGAACTCCAAGGAGGTGGGATATGGGGGCCTGGTGGGAGAACAATGTTACAGCCCCATGTAAGTTCTGGGCCCTAACCACCCCCAAGGCTTAGCGCACACTCACCTGATTCTACAGTCAAAGTTTTCAAACTGGTTTAAGAGCTCCCCGATTTCTGGACTCAGGTGTCCTGTTGCCTTGGCAGCTTTTGTAATAGGTTTCTGATATGCACCTTTCCTCTTAGGTTAAATGTTAGTTTAAAAAATTTAGAGAAAAGGGACAGTTTGGAAACAGATGCAAGATCTTACAGAAGTATCTTACAGAGTATGAGGACTGAGAAAATGCCACTTGATTTAGTAATTAGAGGGTCATTAGTGACTTCTGTAAGACCAGTTTCAGCAAAGGAATAGGGATAGAAACCAGAACGCAGGAGTTAAGGAATATGTCAGAAGGAAAAGAATGTAGTGTAATGCTTCTTGTACCTATTCCCTCCTTTCAACTATCATATCACTTTAGTTTCAGGTCCTCATCTCTCATCAGAATTATTTTAGTAGTTTTCTAACTATCTTCCCTTACTCTTATCTCTTCCCTGTTCAATCTATCCTACGAAATTCAATTCAACAAACATTTATTAAGCATTTACTGTGAGTTATAAGGTTTGGATAAAGTGAGATATAAAGTTTAGATAAAGATATGGCTCTTCCCTACTTGGAATTTATAATCTAGTATAACACATAATAGCCAAATTTCTTAAAGTGCAGCCCACCAAAGATCCTCACTCATCCCTTGGCCACAATTTACTTTTATAGCTTTATCTCATTTTCTCTCCTAAATGTACCCATGCTTAAGGCAAAATGGACTGACTACTTGCCATTCTTTAAACAGTTTTGGTTCCAAAACCATTGAGTTAGTTTGCTTTGAACAAACATAAAATGTCTCCCATTAAAAAACTAGTTTTAGTCAAAAAATGAGATGATCTAATTAATTTTTTTTATCATGAACTTGACAAACATAAACATTTCCATATACAAAGAACAGAAAAAGAGGATTGGAGATGAGGTCAAGGACTATTTATCATTTTTTTATTTTCTACCCTAAGAAACACAAAACATTGCACATAGCTGGTATTAAATAATGTTTAATTGAATTCAAAGCATTTTACTGGCATCTTTAATGTATTAATGAATTATTTTTTTATTATAATTATTTGTATGTCATATCCCCCAGCTAAGCAGTAAATTCCATGAATAGAGACTTTTATCTCCTCTAGCCCCTGGCCCAACCCTAGCCACAGAAGAGATACTTAATACAAAAATAACATCAGTTTTAATAGCCCCCCCCCCCAAATCTGCTACATTTTCCACGACTGAATTGAATTTGAACCCATGTCTTCTGACTCCTAGACTAATGCTTTCCCCAAATATACCATTGTTTTTAAAATATAAATTTTGGCAAATTTAAGAGTAAAGAAATATTCAACCAGAATTCTAGGTTATCTAGATTTTGTTATCATGTCTGCAATATTAACCTCTCCAAAGACTCTACAATTCAAAAGTTTGTGACACTTACCTGGTCTCAGTGGAATGAGAAAGAAAAATAAAAGAATCAAGAGAAAGTGAAAGAAAAGTGAAGAGGAAACACTTACTTAAAAGTAAGCTACCAAAAACTAATACATACTTTTTACTTTTGTCATTAATGGCAAACTAGAGTTATGTGGCTAAAACATCCTACTCACCACTAGCTATTTTTCCTTGAACACTAGTGAAGTGAGGAACACTCACTTGAGAAGAAAACCTCTACTTGTGGCAGATCATCAGCATAAACTAATGAAGGAAAGGATGTAACATTCTTAAAAGAGGATTAAAACATGTACTTATATACTTTAATTTTGTCATGCTAACAATTCAGATAAAAAAAAAACACTAGAAAATCAATGACAAGAAAAAAAATTTTTAGTTTTACCTGAGCACCCCTGGAGTAGGATCTGAAAATGGTGCAAAACCTCCCCTGACCAGATGTATCCCTGAAACGCAAACAGAATTCAGAAAAGTAACTATATTGAAAACCTAAAACCCCGGCCATTCTTCCCTTTTCATTGTGCTCAACAGGTAGGGGGGGTTCTGCCTCAATGAACTGGGAAGATCAGAGGTAGGTAGATGATGCAATGGATAGATCACTGGACTTGGAGTAAGGAAGATCTTGGTTCAAATCTTGCCTTAGACACTTACTGGTTGAGTGACCCTGGGCAAGTTACTTAAGCCCTCTCAGCCTCCATTTTCTCAACTGTAAAATTGGAATTAGAATATTACCTATCTCACAAACTTGTTATGAGGATCAAATGAAATAACATACGTAAGGTACTTTGCAAACTATAAAGTGTTATAGAAATGATATCACCATTATTATTACTATAAGATTTTATTTTGCATTTAACTTCACCAAAATTTTACAAGGTGTTAAAGATTTAAGATTTAAGGAGGAAGATTTCCTAAGTGTGGGAAGGACTAGCATACAAAGGATGGGGACTAGCTCTTGTCTATTTGCCAGTGATGACAAATCTTGTCAATAGACAAATGTTGTCACTAATATTTGTACCACCTACCTCACAGGGTTGGTTTGAGCAAACTTTATAAATTATGCATATAAGGCATTATGAATTACTGGATGAGAGGTATGGTACAGTTTAGAGGCAGGGGGATGGATGACTTCTCTTCCAGCCCAAAGATTAAAGGTTTATGTTCTAGTAAAACTATAGTTAAGACACATATTAGCTCCATTTTTTTTTCTTTTGCAGGTTTATGCTTTCCTTTAATGTTTGACTCTGCCTGAATTGTTTATTTAATACTTATCTAGTAGGATCTGCAGCAGCTACTTATCAAAATACAGTTCATTGAAAGTCTAGCTAACTCCATGGCTCACATTCTCAGAAGTTGCTATGAAATATTTATTCTAGTATGGCAATGCTTCTTTTAACACATACTGTATATAGCAGCAGAGATGAATTCCTGCTCTGAAGTGTTAAATAAAAGAATAGAACTATTTTGTGCTGTAAAAATTAAACTGTGTCAAAATGAATACATGGATGAAAAATCTAGCCCCTGTGATGAATAAAAACAGTTTCTGGGTAATTAATAATTAATTTATTAATTAGGTTAGTCAACAATCAATAAATTCATGGTCAGTGGTTTTTCTCAGTAACCAAAGGCTCCACGGGAGATCTTGAAAGGTCTTAAATCCCTTCTGAAAGGCAACTCCCTTGACAAGTGAAAATCAACCCTGACTGGTGGATGTTTAATGAGGAGATGGGCTAAAATTAGTCTTTAGCTCCTTCTTCTGAGAATATGGCTTGATCATGAGACTCACATAGGGTAAGGGGAAGCCATCTCCTTTTAGACCTCTCTGGCTAGTTTTTTCCTTCATGAACTGGCTGGCTCTCAGCTCTAATGGAGGGGACGACGAAGGACAAGTTCCTCCTCCAGGCAAAGGCTCAACCAGACTGAACTTAGGAACAAATTTTATCACTCAGCCATGCCCTTCAGAAGGTGATTGACCTTTTCAGGTGTTAGGTTTTAACAAAAACAAAAGGAAAAAGGTGAATCACAAATTAATAGTTATTAATAATAACATAATATTAATTTCTCTCACTCTTTCCTAACTAAAGACTTTTGAATAGGCCAACAACCACCACTGACAATTGCCACTGTGTCAAATACAGATGTCGAGGTGATGTGACTGACCTAAGGCAACTTACTTAATTATCCCTTACAAATGTCTACTTCCGTAGTTCCTTAAAGACATGTCTTTGGAAATATAGTCCCTCTTAATTTTAACTTTTTTTGAGGGATGATACTCTGGAGAAGGATGAAAAGGATACCAAGATCTCAAGTTCTCTCTCTTTTCTCAAATGGACTTGATCTCTTCCAGCTCTAAAAATCCTAAGATTCTAGGAAAAAAATTATCACTTTATAGAGAAAAGAGGAACCGGATCTCTTTAACAATAAAACCTTTGAAGACTGTTTTCTCTGAAACAGAAGTTCTGGTATTACATATTGTGTTTAAAAAACAGAGACTTATTTTAAATGGGCTCATCTGTATACAAGTTAATCTAAATGAGCCATCTTCTTGTATGTATGTATCTTTACTTGTATCACCTAATGAAATTAGGACATAGTTAAGTGTTTTAAAAGTTTCACTTCCTTACCTACCAACTCACCCAATCTTTGAAGGTGTTATACCGCTACTGAGTCAGACAGAAGAGCTTTCAACTAACTTTGTTCAGCAATATAAACTCACCAAAGTTCCAGCTTGACTCGTCTGCCATCCAGTAAAATTGTAGTTGTTTTATAGTCTATCCCTGTAAAAAAACAAACAAACAAAAAGGAGAAATAAAAATCTGAATGAAGAGAATGGGGCACAAGGGAACTAGGATGAGTCAAGACCCAATGCTTGCTAAAAGCATTACCATTCTGCATGGGTCTGTAAAATTGTGTGATGATGTAATTTTATCTTAGTCTCAGAAAGAATGCTGGATTTGCAATGAAGAGGACCTAAGTTCTGCTATTTACCATCAGTAAGCAAGATGCCTCACTTCTCTGGACCTCAGTTTCCTCATTTATATAATGAGAGTTTTGGACTAGATGAGCCATAAGTTTCCTTTCAGCTCTAACTAAATCTTATGAGCCTATTAACAGATACTCCCTCCTCTATTCTCCCCCTCCTCTCCAATGAATATGTTTGGAGCACTAGGGAGCATAAACTGATAAAATGACAAAATCTCAATGGAGAATATTTTTGACTCTGATACTCCAACTACTTACCTTCACTATTTTTCTTCAGACAACAGGACATTTTTTTTAAACACCACTCCTCCCTCTTAAAACAATTTATCTACAGAGCAAAGTCAGTCTTGAAGACATGAGTAGGAACTGAAGTATCTGATAATTATGAACTTTAATTTACTGTCAATTTAGAAACTCCCTGGCAGCATTTAGTTTTAGGGTTCTTCCCTTTTGCTCTGTATTTCAAAGTTTAAAAGCTCAATCACTTTTTTTACCTTTCATAATATTTGGTCCAACAGGCCTAGGGTCATGTTCATTTTCTTTGCTAAATAATGCTTTACATTATTTACTCATTTTTAAGAACAATGATATAGTTGGAAGTTCTATCTACTTGGTTGAAACCTTCCCTAACATTGAGATTTCTCTAGGAACTCTCATATCACTTATTAGTACCACTCATTTGCACTTAGATTGCCTTACATTTATACATTTACACAATTTATACATTTTTTGTGTATATGTCTGAGCTTCATAGCTATACTATGAATTTCTTCAAGTGAAGTGTCTTATTTTTTTCAAGTTGGAAAAGATATATTAAGGAGAAAAATATATTTTGATTTGCTTATTTTACAAAATAAGCAAAAAAAAAAATTTAAAAACATGCCATCTTTCTGTAACTGACAAGACTTTATCAGGCAAAGCCCTTCCTGTAGTCCCTGAATGATCTCAGACAAGATGTCCAAACTTGTGAAACAGAGCAAGCAATCAAAATCCGTGTATTTCACATGTTTCTCATGCTGAAAGATACCAGCTTGATTTATTTCTTCAAAATCAAAATCTTTAAAACCATACATTTCATAAACATTTAAATATGCCCTTTTCACTAGGTTCAATCACTCCAGACTTACACATGATAGGACAAAATAAGAATAGAATAAATGCTTTAACAATGTGAAATCCTAAACTCTCAGCCAAAAAGCCTTCCATCTATGGTTCGAACAATACGGATGTAGATTCTAACAATTCTTCCTCAATACCAATGTCATTCTCTTGTGATAAATGAAAGGTACTTGGCTAATAATTCTATTTTCCCCCACTGTATCCTTACCCCACCTCCCCACACTTTGACATATCAAAAATGTTCAGAGATTACTGACTGCCCATATCTATGAAATTTGAAAGATGGGACTTTTGTAGATATAAATATAAGGGTTATGTGTAAGTAACTGCAACTCACCCCAAACATCCATATATGTATAAGTGTACTTAATACATGCTATCAATTTACATAACTCAACTTCTCACAGAATGAAAGACACTATGATTCAGAAAGTTTTTTTTTTTCCTTTTTTTGTTTTGATATAGCAGGAACAGTGCTAGATTTTAGAGTCAGAAAACTTGGGGATAATTCCATTCATCTTGCTTATTACAAAGGTCACCTTAAGTAAATCATTTAACCTCTCTAGGCCTTAGTTTCCTGATTTGCTAAATGAAAGTGCTGGACTAGATGACTTTAAAGTCCCTTCCAGTTGTAAATCTGTGATTTTATGACCCCCCCCAACTCAATTAAGTTCCCCGCAAAGAGTTAAGCAAAACCTATCAAATGTTATCAAAACCATTTTTTATAGACATAAGAATATAGCTGAAATTTTTTTTCATTTAGTTAATTAATCCAATTCTTTGTGACCTTGTTTGGGGTTTTCTTGGCAAAGATATTAGAGTGGTTTGCCATCTCCTTCTGCAGCTCATTTTACAGATGAGAAAATTGAGATAAAGGGGATTAGGTGATTTGTCCGGGTCACACAGCTACTAAGTGTCTGAGGCCACATTTGAGCTCAGGTCCTCCTGATTCCAGGGTCAGCATTCTATCTATCTGAGCCACCTAGCTGCCCAGCTAAATTTTATTGTATCATAAGAAATGACTATGAAGAATATAGAAGACCTACATGTACAAAAATATCTATAGCAACTCTTTTTGTGGTGGCAAAGAAATGGAAATTGAGGGGATGCCCATCAATTGGGGAATGGCTGAACAAGTTGTGGTATATGAATGTAATGGAATTCTATTGTGCTATAAGAAATGATAAGCAGGCAGACTTCCGAAAAACCTGGAAAGACTTGTATGAACTGATGCTGAGTGAAATGAACAGAACACTGTACATAGTCACAGCAACATTGTGTGATGACTGACTTTAATGGATTTAGCTCTTCTCAGCAATGCAAGGATCTAAGACAACTTCAAAAGACTCATGATGGAAAATACTATCCACATCCAGAAAAAGAACCATGGAGTCTGAATGCAGATGGAAGCATACTATTTGCTCTCTTTTTCTTTTGTTGTTTTCTTTTATTTCTTTTTTGGGATTCCTCCCATTAGTTCTAATTTTTCCATACATCATGACTAATGTAAAAAAATGCTTAATATTAATGTATAAGTAGAGCCTATACCAGATTACATGCTGTCTTGGGGAGGAGGGAGGAATGGAAGGAAGAGAAAATTTAAAACTCAAAATCTTATGGAAATGAAAGCTGAAAACTAAAAATAAATGAATTATTTAATATTTTTAAAAAAGAACACAGAAAAGCATGAAAAAACATATATGAACTCATGCAAAGTAAAATAGGCAGAACCAAGAAAACAATATAACTGTTAAGAGTAATTAAAAAAAAAAACAATAACCCTCAAATGCTGTATAACTATAATGACTAAGCTTGGTCCTAAAGAAGAAATACAAATCTCTCCCTTTGAAACAGGATATATTTAGAAAACTGATAAAAACAAAAGATATCAACACATTTTTAGAAGAGATATATTACTATTCACCAAATAAATTTGCCAGGGAAAGCAAACTTCCAAATGTGAAAATCCATTATGCCAGCAGCATGATACAGAATTAGCATTAGGAAATGCTTTAACCTCTTACTCTTAAATGGAGAAATCTTTATCAACAACTCTTATATGATTTGCAGATATTCTTCTCTATCAGGAAAAGCTGTGCAAGGCAATATTTACTTTACTGACATAAAGCCTTTTTTTGTAGACACAAAGAATATATTACTACACATTCTGAATGAGAGGTATTCATTAGCTCCAACTGCTTCAAACAGAGAAATGGTTGATTAGAACTTATGTTTACGCTTTCATTTACAACAAAACAATAGGAAGGCCAAAAGGTTTTGCCAGAAGGAGAGGGTATAACTTATATGTAATAAAATGAGCCGAGTGAGAAGTTCAGCTGGTGCATGTCCACCAATCTGCTCTCCCTCTTGGTGCTTGGCCAGGAAAATCTGCTTCCCACACAAAGCTGGGTAAAGTCAGATGTGGGAAAACAAATACATCAAAATATCGTAAAGTGTTGAGGTCCTTTGATAAATAGTATAAAAAAAAAAGCCTCTTCCTAGAATAGATTAATGAGTTTCTCAGTATTTGTTTCTGATACATATTGAAAAAGAAATTTCCACTCTACCTTATTTGTGTTTTTATTGTTTGCCTTATTGGAAAGAAAAATCACTGAAGGAGATAAGCCGTCTTCATGGATTACAAGGGTTATGTTATATCCTTATCCACTCAAATTTCCAAGAAAAAGGGATATTTTGTTTGTTCAAAGTACTTTGGGATTATCAAGCCAAACAAAATTAATAATAAAATTTTTAAAATTCAACCAAACCAAATGGTTGCCAAACACAATGGCTGCTAAATTTTACCAAGATGCAGTTCTGAGCAAGCACAGAAATAAACACTAAGTGACTATTCCTTTAGCTATACATTTGCAAGATACATTGGTCATTAACCTCACCTCTTACTCTATTTCGAAATGAGCACAAATTAGGTAGAATTCTGGTTCTGAGCAACACATCTAAGGAGAGGATTTAGTTGCTAAATTTTGCAGACAACTGGAATGTACAGCAGCAGTCATTGGCCTCCCAGACTAGATATCCTTTCTATATTTGGAATAAGCTTTTTGGAAGAAAGGCACTCAATTCTGAAAGACTTCTAAGGTTTTTTTTGCCTATTTTTCTTACCAGCACCCAGCCATCTACTAATAGCTATAAATTTTATTGCCAACAAAAGAAATGGCTTTTTATTTTCTAGGCAATATCAGGAGAGGTCTGCTAAAGGAATTAAAGTGAAGCCCTGTTATAATGCTATAAAAAGCCATGAAACCTATTATCTTAAACTCTATCTCCTTTTAGCATTTAATCACACAGAATGGACAGTTTAAACATTATCTTCAATTAGACACAGGTATATCAGTTTGGCCTTGCTTTCCTATAAAAAAATATATTCTTAGGTTCCTGGGTCCTGCCAATGATAAAATAAAAGTTCTAACATCACAAAAGACAGCTCAGTGTCATCAATGAGTACACCTCCATGTTTTCTCAGTAAAGGCCCCTCTGGTTACTTCTTTTTTTGACAGAATATGTTAGAGTATGAAGCTGGTTCAAGAAGACTTCTGCTTTGCAGAGGTGCCAAGTAGTCACAAAAGCTCTCTGCTCAGGGAGGCAGTAGAACAGGACGTTCCAGCATGTTCAAGGAATCTTAAAGTTGCTAAAATGCAGGCTGCCCTAGGAAACA